AAACAGCCAAGACTATTTTTTATTACGTAAGCTCTTATTTCATGGTAGTTTAGTGCGAATTTTGCATTTTTATGGGTTTTATATACACCATAGAGCGCTCCGCTAAATTTAGCGGGACGTGCAGGAGCTCCCGCTAAAGTTGTCCCCTAAAGTGAGGTAAAAAGCGAGCGACTTTAGCGAATGGAGATTCGTGAAACGCGTCCTCCGCTATTTAGCGGACAACTCGGGAGTTAGCGGAGCAGATAGCGGAAAATATAGCGAACGGAGCTTTGTGAAACGCGCCCAAGGTCGAAAGTTACTTATATATGCATGGATCACCACATCCAAGCTTCATGAAGACAGAGAGCAATTGACTGTGCTATGTGACTAGCTACCAAGTGATTTACTTTCCCGCGTTTTGTGCATCAATATTGTGGCAATTGTGGAAATAATTCTTCTTCCAATCTTGCGTTATGGCCTATCATATAGATGGCCAACTCTGATCTGATGCCATGATAAATAGATATATTGCTTAACATCTGTTGATAAAATCAGGCTCGGACAAAATAGTTTCTTTAGCACCGTCTAGCTACACGATGGAGGTTTTCTCGGGTTAAGTGCGTCAACCCGAGACAAGTTATCTCTGGTTAGCGTTAACCTTGTGAGAGGAGGGGGTAAGCAAAAACGTTGTGTAGACTCTACGGGCGAAGGTAGATAGGTGGTGTTGTGGCGATGCACGAAAGTGAACATTCGCGAACATGGCAGAACTGACTAGAGATGCCGCCACGGGCTGTGCGAAGATGGATGCCTCCAGTAATAACAACGAGGATTCTTTCGAAGAACCGTTTCCTAAACTTATAAAGACTGATCACAGATAGTGTGCGATTATGCAACTCTTATCGTCGTACCATACTATTGCTGTACAAGAAACGATACTATTGCTGTACAATAAACGATTTATTTATTGACTCTTTGTGAGAAACACAACAGAGTTAATTGGCGCAGTCGACTCGTATCAGCTTGCGAGCCAAGTCAAGACTCACACGTCAAGACCGAAGTTGCTACGGACCTACCAAGATGTCTGAAACGGCGGAACTGATCAAGCTGCTGCGGGACCAGATGGCGGACGTTTACCGTAATTGAATATTTAACAGCTGTGTAGAAATAAATTTAGGCTAATGTGTGTATTTTACTTGCCGACATCTGACCGGTACTCCGGGCAGTGTTGTGGCCCCTATGTGTGTATCTAAGATATTATGTGTTGCAAGCTAACCCGCACGATAGACAGTGATGACGCTAATGTGTGTGTGTCCAGTGTAGAACAGCTGTTTAGTAGCTGTGTAAAACAACGTTGTGCTAATGTGTATGTGTGTTCTTCGCCGACAGCTAACCCAAACTAATGTTGTGATGCGGCTAAGGTGTGTGTCTAAACTGTTATTCGTTGAAAGTTGACCCGTACTATGGGCAGTGATGCGGCCAACGTGTGTAGGTTGTAACAGAGCTGCGCCTATCTACGTGTATATCTATGCAGTATGGAACTAATTTTACCAGTTGTTTGTGTGTCCGGCAGATAAATCCGTCTCCTTGCCAGCTGGTGTGGTGTAAGATTATGTTTGTGTTGATGTTCTGCTGCCGGTTATAACGTAACCTCAGCTTGTGTGTGAGCTGGTATTAAATGCGTTCGCGGAATGATATTAGCGTTGCTACAATATAATTACACCACATGTGCATGTAATGCCTGTCTGATCAACTCTAAATTAACACTGCACACCGGTCCCAGATGTAGGATGTAGTATAGGCCGTTATTCAATCTATTTTGCACTTTTCCAGTCAAATTATGTAGGATTGATAAAATTTTGACTTGGATAATTTCCTGAATTCAGTGAAAATAAGTATGGCAAAGCTATATTTGCCACGACCTTCATGCAATGCGTTTTGAATAATTATATGAACTCTTCGTTAATTTTCAGGCCCGTCTCAAAGTGTGACAATTATAAAAGAAGTAGGCCCCTAAGTATATTATTCAATGGTGGAGCCTTTAATTGTTGATAAAGCTACTTGATACAATAATCACAGCTATGCACAACGAATTCCCCAATAATCGTTAAAACACGACAATAATTCAGGACTAGTAGTAGCTTTATGAGCGCAGATAAGTCGCCCAGCATGGTGACCAAAAGTCGTTATGATTCTGTGGTTTGAATCATTCGGGTAGATTACATGACAGTATGTACCTCTCGTGGTGTCTATCTACAGCAAGTATATAGAGCAACATGAGCATGTAATGCCTGTCTGATCAACTCTAAATTAACATATCTTGGTATTCTGTCTGCAGTATGATGTGTCGGAGATGTAGTATAGGCCGTTATTCATATATTTTGCACTTTTTCGAGTCAATTCATGTAGGATTGATAAAATTTTGACGTCGATAATTTCCTGAATTCAGAAAATAAGTATGGCAGCTATATTTGCCACGAGTTCATGTAATGCGTTTTTGAATTAATTTTATAAACTCTTCGTTAATTTTCAGGCCGTCTCAGGCTGTGACAAATGAAAGATAAGTATAATTATTCGAAATGTGGAGCTTTGTTTGTAAAGTACTTAATATACAATAATTTAGCAGCCTATGCACAATGAATTCCCAATAAGTGTTAAAAAGCACGACAATGCAATTTCAGGACTAGTAGTACTTAATTATGCAGCGAGATAAGTCGCCAGCAGCATGGTTTGAGCGCAAAAGTCGTTATGATTCTGTGGTTGGAAAATCATTCGGAGGTTAACATGGACGGTTGTACACTCATAGTGGTCTATGTCACAGCAGTATATATCTCGCACACTGATAGCATGTAATGCTGTTGATCAAATTTATAGATTAACATCTTTGGTTCTTGAATGTATAAGGTCGCTATTTCTTAATTACCCGACCCGATGATCTTGGATTGATGGGACCGTATGTGAATACCGAACGTCTTATAGCGTTTGCCACCCAGATCGCTCCTCAGACTAACCCATTTTCATTTGCTTTAGGCTTTTTATAAGGAGAGACTTTTTGTCGTGTGCGTAGTGTTAAAAATGTACCTATTTTCCACATTTTAAGCCCCTGAGGCGGATGCAGTTCTGGTACATGAGATTATGTCAGTATGTGGTTCTAGGGGCGGGCGTTTTTCTAAAAGCTGCCGATAAATTTAGCCGCTAAAGTTCTGACCGTTCGGCGATCTTTAGCGAACGGAGGCATACGGAGAACTTAATTAGCGACCGGACACCCTGTTTTCAGACGTCGCTAGTGCCTCCGCTAAATAGCGGAGGATGCAGCAGTCAGCTGGCAGAATAACGGTACCACATGTGTTCAGGTACGTTTATCATAACTAGGCAAGCAGCGCTGTGTATAGAGATCGATAGAGATACTCTAGACTAACGCTATGGCAGAGAAGAAGCGCCGCCCAAGGTTTACTCGCGCACCAGAACTTGAAATTCTTGTGGGATAGTGGTCGGAATACTAGTGTTTATTTTCGGCAAGTTCTTGACAGGCCTGACGTTAGAGGAAAATAAGCGATGTGGAGTAGTATATGGCGACGATGCGCGAAAAGTTAGTATAATGTCTGATGAGAGCAATTCGCTAATCTAGTGTTTGTTATCATAAGATTAATTTTAGTGTCTATATGGGTGAATGGTAGTCGTGGTGCTCGCAATATTTGCTTATGTTAGTTTGGTCCTTTCAGGTACTTATTTGTTTAGTATTTGAGGGGATATACATACTGGGATGATTTCATTTATTAATACGCTAACTTGAGATCTTTAAGCTTAATTGCTATTGACTTTATTAATCAGGGGGTTTCTATTTTATTTATTGAATATTTTCAAGTTATGAACTAAGCATTTATATTGTCTCGCGCTGTAGAAAACATCAACACGCACGACCTGAGTAAAAATTTAAACACTTTTTTCTGTGACTATGACCATATATCATTTCTATAGATATTATGGGAAGCGATATTAAGACGAACAGGCGAGAATGATGATGCGAGAATGGAGCTACCGGATAAAGGAGTGATCACCTCGAAAAACACAGTTGACGCGTAAGAAGGCTGGCCGAGCTACTTTTTTTCTTGTAACTGGGGTAGATTCGTATGCACTCAGCCGATTTAACGCCTATTGAAGAAAAGGTCTTAGTACATTATTCCGAAGTCAGCAAGAAGGCCCATATCCGGGACTAGTGTGTATAGGAAAGCGGGATAGGATAGAAGCTCCTGCTTTCACATCGCGGAGCCTGTGGTCAACGCTGCTCGGCAAATCACTCTAATCATTCTGGTCTCCAGTTTTCCGAAGTCTGCAGTACAGCCACTTCAACCACATAACACCGATAGCATCCCGTACCGCCACAGTCATTGCTAAGAGGGTTAACTCAGGGAGGATGGGTTAAGTCAAGCAAAGGAAAGGATTCGCATAAGAGGTATGTTTATCTAATAAATGGTGTCTTTGAAAAGACCGAACGACTATGGTTTGGAAGCAGTGCGAGCTAGAAACCGATCGTGTGGCATGGACTTCGTTTGCGTACCATGAAAGAAGAAGACTTGAATGTAGCGTCCTAAACTTAGATTATCGTTTTAACGAGGCAGCGACTAAAGTTGAAAACGCAAAATTAGGACGAGCAATGCACGAGTGAAACATGCTAATGTGCACAAAGTAGAGTGAGCACAAGCTTGTAAAGCGTAAGAAGCGAAAAACAAACACATATAGTTTTTGCATTGTATATATCATTGGTGATCTTTATCATTATTATTGTATACACATTTATTTGTTATCTATCATAGTAATGTTATCATCCTCTATCCTAATATGTTCATCACTTAGCTAATCAGTGACAATGTTATTATTTATCTATCATGTAATTCATGCATTTACATCAATATATTAGTTATTATATTAAAAGAGCCTATTATAGCAGGTATTAGTAAGCTGTTGCTATATATGGTTATGTTTAATATATCAATATTTTTTCATATTATATGTAAATCAGAACCGCACATTAACAAATCGATAGTCTAATTAATGGAGGACGACTATAATGATTACAACTGTAAATCATTTCAAGAACTTTCCTTGCCATGCTCTCAATTATCATTCTTTATTTACTTATTTTATCTCTCCAAACTGATACTAGCATTAACTGTAAGCCATGATCTTGTGTAAATGTTTATAAATGACGGTTTTTGTTGAGTGATATTAATATACCTCAATTTTAGTATTACATATGAAATTAAAATATATAAAAGATTTTCATCTTGTTTTTTTTAGTTGTAAGGCCAGACGTTTTACGTTTGCACTTATACTTGAAGCTTCTCTTAAATTACATATCATTTCAGTTTTTACATTGCAAATCTTTGTTGGTATCCGCTGCTCCCGCACGCCTCCCTCTGCATTGTCATTAGGTTCTTCTCGCCGCACATATAGCGGTCACGCGTCGCGAATTCAGACTATATTTCTCATCAGGGAGAGTGGGATCTTCTCGGTACTTGCAAATGTTATGTAGTACAGCGGGTTGCATAATTATCACGAGCAATGCTTTGTCGGTATATGTCGTAGTGCTGCCGAGCGTGTACACAGTATATAGGTTTAAGGCTCGGAAGCAGTAAGTTTCACACACAATGCACAGTCTAGTTTGTACCGGTGTGTGCCATTTAGTGAGCTACCGGGATATTCTAGGGATTCGGGTATTCTGTACGCATTTGGATTAGATAGATGTTCAATGGATATGGTCGAAGTGTTAATAAACCACTGTAGCAAAAACCAAACGTGATGTTTGCAGTTGTGCGAAACGGTATTTCCATGTGTGAGTATTTGAAAAACGCGAGTCGTGATCTGCGGGCCAGAGAGCGCACAATGTTCGACAAGGTTCTAGGTTAGGCGCTGCTATCATTGCACGTTTTATCGCGTGGTATCGTTTTGTGTTTACGATATATAATGTTCAATTCGACTTTAGCTGCCGCGTATTGAACGTCTAGTATGTGTCATCTAGACACACATCCGACAGTGACTTAGGACGTTGCAGCGCTGACGTTGTAGGGAGACCAGTTTTTACCTTTCTATAGGTGTTGTTCAGGGGACTGGGCCGGTGATCTTCAGGACGTAACATGCTGGTTGGTGATATTTGCAGTGTCGCTGAACCTCTGTATAATTCTATTCTTGACAGGATGCCTTGCTGATTTCCCGTAGTATCGCTAGTTTGCTGAAATACTTCCATTGCGTATTATCATAGAGCGCAAACGCTTGCAGAGAGGTAGGTATGGCCCTAGATATCTATTGACTATCTTTGGCGAGAGCTCTTATTCAAGTTGATTCACTACGCATAAACAACATGACCCTAGGGCATTATATTCTACATTATTTTTGCTGTCATATGTATGCATCACAACTGGATCGTTCTGTCTCTAAAGCTTCTTTTCTCTTCGGCAAGCGACTATTTTCCATGTTCTCTATTCATATGGTCTGACTCAGAATAAAAGATTTTGCCATGAAGGCTTCCCTCGCGCTTTGCGCACACTCTTGCGTCGTTGTTGTGGCATGACGTATGAAATCACATACTGATGAGCGTAAATAACCTAAGCATTGTATGATTGCTGTTTTTGGGCTAGTGCTAATTACTGTACGCATCGGTGTGGCCAACTGCTACGGAACTCGTTATAACGTCTGACATCAAGAAGTTGGTGCTTGTGTAACTGCTTGGTGCTAACTTAACAGGCTTTGGTTGCTCCAATCAGTAATTCTCGACACCCGGTAGAACGTACGTAATCGTGGCATAAAATATTGCAATACTACATGGCATGGTCTACTCTAGCCGGATTATACACAACCTGTTGGTCATCTCTTAGTGCAGTTTAAACAAACGTTCTTGTTACTCATGGACAGTGCCCGATTAGACAGCCAAGACTATTTCTTGTATGTACGCCTTAAGCTCTGCTATTTCATGGTAGTTTCGTGCGAATTTTGACATTTTTATGTATTTATTACACAATAAAGCGTTCCGCTAAATTTAGCGGACGTGAGGAGCTCCCGCTAAATTTGTCGCCCTAAGTGAGGTAAAAAGCGAGACGACTTTAGCGAATGGAGATTCGTGAAACGACCGTCCTGCAGCTTATTTAGCGACGAACGTGGGAGTTAGCGAGGAGATAGCGGAAAACTACAGCGAAACGGCTGATCTTTAGTGAAGTCGCGCCCAAGTCGAAAGTTATTATATATGGAAATTGATGGTCCACACATCCAAGCTTCTATGAGAACTAGAGGCAATGTTAGACTGTGCTATTGACTAGGCACCAATTGTTTTACTTTCCCCGTTTGTAGCTTAAAACAACCAATATTGTGGCATTGTGGAAATAAATTCTTTTCAATCTTGCGTTATGGCTATCATATAGATGGGCCACCTCTGCTGAGATAATGAGCATGATAATAGATAAAGTTAGCTTAACATCTGTTGATAATAGGCTCGACAAAATAGTTTATTTACCCGTCTTAGCTGAGCACGATGAGGTTTCTCGATTAAGTGCGTCAGGTGAGAGCCAAGTTATACTCTGGTTAGCGTTACCTGTGAAGAGGGTACGCAAACGTTGTGTAGACTCTACGGCGTAAGTAGATAGGGTGTAGTTGTGGCGATGCACGAAGTGAACATTCGCAAACATGGCAGAACTGACTAGAGATGCGCCACGGGCTGTGCGAAGATGGATGCCTCAGGTAATAACAACGAGGATTCTTTCGAAGACGTTTTCTAACTTATAAAGACTGATCACAGATAGTGTCCGATTATGCAACTCTTATGGTCGTACCATACATTGCTGTACAATAAACGATACTATTGTGTGACAATAAACGATTATTTATTGACTGCTTTGTGAAAACAACAGAGTTAATTGGCGCAGTCGACTCGTATCAGCTTGCGAGCCAAGTCAAGACTCACACGTCAAGACCGAAGTTGCTACGGACCTACCAAGATGTCTGAAACGGCGGAACTGATCAAGCTGCTGCGGGACCAGATGGCGGAATTGAGGGAGCGTTCGGAACGTGAACAGAAGGACATTCGTCGTCAACATCAAGAACAGATGGACGCGATCAAAGCACTTTACAGCAACGTCCCCAACGTCACGTCACTAGTGGGTTCCTCTACACCTGCTTTTGCCCCCTTTGACTCCACGTCGGAGCTGTGGACTGACTATTGGGCCAGATTTTGCACCTTCGTCGGGGCCAATTCCGTTCCTGATGAGCGAAAGGGGCAAGTATTCCTCACCAACCAGTCGCCCACGGTCTACAAACTTCTGGCCAATCTCGCCGCACAGCATACCCCGCCCAAAGACATCAACCAGCTTACCGTGGACGAGATCGTTACCTACATGAAGGACCAATTTGATCCGAAACGATTCATCGTCCGGGAACGATTCAAGTTCTGGAGCGAAATGCAGCGGAAACCAGGCGAGACCATACAGGAACTAGCTGCTCGGATACGCCAAGACGCAGCTACCTGCGATTTCACGTCGATCAAGGACCCCCAGGATGAAGCCCTCCGGACCCGATTCATCTGTTCGGTCAGCAACGAGGCAGTCCTAAAGGCCCTCTTCAAGATCAAAGGCGATGAATTGGATTTTGCCCGGGCAGTGAACATTGCTATCGAGACTGAGGATGCCACATGTAGCTTCTTATTGTTTGATTACTATACATGTACTAGCTTGCTAACCTCAATTCGTTTAGGTGAGATAACAAAACTGCTTTTCCTGGAGACGGGGGTAAATAACCTGAGATAGTTGTCTCAGGTTAACGGCGTATTGTTTAGATGTAGCTTTTGTTATATCAGATATTTCATTGTAATTTAATCTCACTGCAACGATGTTTCACGATGGCCCATGAGTGGGTTGACATTATTTCTTATGACTATTTCTTCCACTAAATTGGGTGAAAAACATACTCGGTTGTGAAAATGTTTAAGTTAATTGAAACATGTGCCTCCTAATTTTTTCCGGATGTTCGAACGCCGTCCAAAAGGTCTAACCAGGTGTCCTCCGCATCGGTAAGTTAAGATAATCTTGATAATCTTGGCCATCTCCTCTATTCGGCTGATTTGATTACTGTCCAATCGGGGTCATTCATTTATTTTGTATGCAAATTATGCGTAATTTTTAACCTCCGGGTGAAGCTTATAAGGGAGCGTTTATAAAGTATGTATGCAATATAGGGGGAGGGGTAAAAATTTGTCATTTTCTCCTATGTACATAATGCGTACATGGGGGGGGGTAAAATTTGCAAGCATTTTGCATACATACTTCATGAACGGCCCCTAAGCTACCGCGGGTTTATATAGAGTCATGGTGAAGCATGGTCTTAGGTACATTCCTATGTACAGTCGTGCCCCTATATACCGCCCACATTGGGATATTTTGATTTGGGCATTATAGAGAGTTTGGCGTTATAAAGCTGTTTAAATATAATTTAAATACATTGATTTATGGGAGATTGGTTATTTTGAAAAAGTGAGGTTCGCATTATAGATGGGGACAGTATATGGGGTACGACTGTATTTAAATTCAGGTCGTTGTCGTTATCTGGATACAGCCTTCATATTTCCATCGTCAGGGCAGGGCATTCAAGGCGTACAATCTGCCTCACTAGTCCTCTGATCATGTGGCAGTCAATACCTTTTTAGCCAACTTAATTGGGGCTTTAATGTTTAGTTTACGCCCATCATACGTTCGTCTGTAAATTTCCCTGGATGCCATGTTGCACGTTGACTTCATTTTTTGGGTGTAATTTGTAATAAGTTTTTTGGTTTGAATTACAGATTTGTCAATACATGTCAAGTGGAGTTGAGGAAAACCTCAACAAAAAATCATTCAGTCTCTTGACCGCCGACCTGATGGTGGCGATCTTTGGGACTGAAACCCTATCGACGCACATCATAAAGAAGATAAAAAATTGTGAAATACAATCGCTGGACCAGGTGAAGCTGCAGGCGATAATAGGTAAGGAAATTTAAGTACGCAGTGCAGTGCTACAATGATATTTTGCCTTTGAGGCTGTATGTATTGTACATAGCAGCTGGATCGTAAGAAAACCTCTCGCATCAGTCAATATTGTAAGAGTATTGGAAATACCCTATGAATCTGCAGGCCAGATATGGTACGTGGCACGTAGTTTTACAGCAGAACCTTATTATGACAAACAATCTCTAGGTCCAGCAACTTAAAATGATTTTTTTTTTCTTTTCAGACTACGTTGTGAAAAATTTCCCAACAATACCAATCGGCATGATAAGGATGGTCATGCGACAAAAATTAAATAATTCAAAAACTGTTGGGAAAAAATAGAACTGCATTTTTATCAGTATACATGTATAATTTGTATCTGAATTACATGCAATAAAGATTTAATAATAAGAATAATAATCGTGGTAAAATGCATTTTTGGAGTGCATTTTTGTGGAAAAATGCATTTTTGAACTGCACCTTTGAAGTACATTTTTTTGCATGGTAAAATGCATTTTTGAACTGCACTTTTGAAGTGCATTTTTGTGGAAAAGTGCATTTTTGAAATGCATTTTTCAAAATGTACTATTAGTCCGAAATCAATGCCTTTTAAAAATGCATTTTTTTGACTAGGGAACATTTGATAATGAGCCGCAGTCCTACAACACATGGAAAAGGAGCTTTCAGTCAAAGATGAGAGAGCTTGACGTCAAACCCTTAGAGGAATTGGATCTTCTGCATAAATGGGCAGGACCTGAGTCCCAGGGACAGGTTAGAAGCTTGAAGGATGCAAATATGCACAATCCACAGCGAGGTTTACAAAGAGTTTGGGAGCGGCTAGACGAACGTTATGGTGCTCTAGAGATGATCGAGTCCTCTCTACGACGAAAGTTAGACAGCTTTCCAAAGTGGACCATCAAAGAACCAAAGAAGCTGTATGAGCTCTCAGACATCGTCTCAGAAATTGAATCCATCAAAGAAGATCCACGGTATCAGTCACTACTAGGCTATTTTGATTCATCATCTGGCGTTACACCCATTGTAAACAAGCTACCTTACAACATGCAGGAAAAATGGACTACAAGCGCAGTTAGATACATTGAGCGAAACCAAGTAATCTATCCTCCCTTCAGTCACTTTGCCCAGTTTCTCCGGGAACAAAGCAAGATCCGCAGTAATCCGAGCTTTACATATGCTGGCGCTAAGCCATCCGGGGAGAATTACCAAGCAACACGGAGAGGTCCACCTGAAATTAGTGCTAGGAAGACTAATGTGGACCAAGACCTCGCCACCTCATTCAGTCGAGATGCCAATCTATGTCCCCTACACAACACTAGACACTCGCTAGACCAGTGCAGGAAGTTCCGGGATAAACCTATCGACGTCAGAAGAAAATTCCTGCAGGAAAAGAATCTGTGTTTTCGCTGCTGTTCTCCAGAGCACAGACGTCAATATTGTAGATCAGTCATCAAGTGTGAGGAATGTAGCAGCGACAAACATTCAACAGCTCTACAATTCGACTACAACGAGATTAAGCGACCATTTAGCAGTTCGGGAAGTCACGGCGGGGAGCCATCGAGTGTATATCATGGACGATACCCAAATGCACTAAATGGGAAGAAGTCAGAGGACATCAATTCAGCATGCGCTCAAATTTGTGGACAAAACTTCAGTGGGAAATCATGCGCTAAAGTAGTTCTGGTTGAGGTGTACCCAAAAAACAATCATGGGAAATCTAAGAGGATGTATGCACTATTAGATGACCAGAGTAATCGATCTTTGGTGAAGCCGGAATTCTTTCAGCATTTTACAGGCGACTACCCCCAGGTAACATATTCCTTGTCTTCCTGCGCGGGAGTGATAGACGCATCAGGACGCGGAGCAGAGGGATTTGTCGTAAAAAGTGTGAACAGTACGACAGTCCTAGATCTACCTGTACTTACGGAATGTTCCGAAATCCCTGATATAAGAGATGAAATCCCTACTCCTGAGGCGGCAATGTGTCATTCACATTTACGAGACATATCTTGTATGATTCCCAAGCTCGAACAAGATACACAAATACTGTTGCTCATAGGAAGAGACCTGACGGAAGCTCATCATGTTCTGGATTAAAGAATAGGGCCTAAAGGGTCGCCGTATGCCCAGAGGTTGAGTCTTGGATGGGTGATCGTTGGGGAGACATGCCTCGGTAGAGTTCACCGTCCCTTCCCAGACAAAGTGCATTCCTACAAGACCCACGTACTGAGCAACGGTCGGGCATCATTGTTTCCGCCATGTACGAACGAATTAATCGTGCGCATAGATCCGAGTAGTAAAAGCAGGCATCTTTCACTCGACACTGAAACTGCAAGGAAGGATTACGTCGATATTGGAAAAGATGTTTTTGCTCGGACGAAGGATGATGAGAAGGCAGGATTAGCCAGAGAAGATCGAGCATTCCTTGAACTGATGGACAAGGAATGCGTGAAAGACGCACAAGGTAACTGGACTGCACCGCTTCCTTTCCGTTACCCACGCCCTATTTTGCCAAATAATAGAGCACAAGCACTCAAAAGAGCAGAAGCTTTACATTCTGGGTTACAAAGAGACGGAGTCAAGCGAGAACACTTTGTGACATTCATGAAAGGTGTGATAGACAACAAACATGCAGAGCTAGCACCTTTACTGAAAGAGAATGAGGAATGTTGGTACTTGCCTCTCTTTGGGGTGTACCATCCTAAAAAACCTGGCAAGATTAGAGGTGTTTTTGACTCATCTGCTATTTATGAGGGATTATCCTTGAACAAGGTGTTATTCAAAGGACCTGATCTGACGAACAGTTTAATTGGTGTCTTGGTTAGAAGCGGAAGTTGAATTCGGATGCGACATGAGAGACTTTGTCGACAGGAATTTCGACGTCGACGACTGTCTGACATCGAAGAGATCTCCTCAAGAGTCTATATATTTGATGATCCGGACTCAAAAGGCACACCAGACCACAAACATTAGACTGCACAAGATAATGTCTAATTGTCAGGAAGTGATCGACGCATTTCCTAGAGAGGACTTAGTTGGAGATCTAAGAGACCTTGACTTAGGCATTGATGACTTACCAACACAGCGCAGTCTTGGTCTTTGCTGGGACTTGAAGCCTGATGCATTCGTATTCAAAACATCAGACAACGTAAAGCCATTCACACGTCGTGGAGCTCTCTCTACAATAAACAGCATCTATGATCCCCTTGGCTTTCTAGCCCCTGTTACGATTAAGGGAAAGGTCATACTTAAGGACTGGGATAAACCGATTCCGGAGGCTTTCAGAGATGCGTGGGAAGCGTGGGAAGGCGACCTGCAAGGCCTAGCTACATTAAAGATTGCCTTTGTAATGGGAAAGTCCAAGGTTGCCCCCAAGCAAGGTCATACAATACCTCGTCTCGAGTTGTGTGCGGCAGTGTTGGCTATTGAGCTTGCGGAATTTGTTTGCGAGGAATTATCTCTACCCACCGAGACTGTCACTTATTACACGGACAGCAGAGTTGTTTTAGGATATCTGAAGAATGAGACCAGGAGGTTCTATGTCTATGTAGGCAATCGTGTTAGCAAGATACTCAGGATTTCTAAACCTCAACAGTGGTTGTATGTATCTACAGAACAGAACCCAGCTGATCATGGTACCCGACACATCCCATCCGCCCTGCTTGGAGACAGTTCATGGCTTCACGGGCCTCAACAGTTGTTATTGGGAGAAGGTGTACCGCCGTTGGAAGAAGCCTTTGACCTTGTTAATCCTGATACTGACAAGGAAGTGCGACCAGATGTTGAAGTATACAAATCGCAATTGGACGACCACGTTGCAACTACACTTGACATGGGTAGGGCAGAGCGATTTTCGAGTATGAAAAATCTGGTAACAGCAATTGCCTACCTTCGGAACATTGCAGCAGGGTTTAGGCTGGAGAAAAGTGAGATATGTCATGCCTGGCACACCTGCACGTCTTTTAAGACGGTGGCCTCACTTAGAGCGGCTGAGACATCCATTTTGAAGGCAGTACAACATTAATTTTACAGCGAGGAATTGCTTGCCTACAAAGAGGAAATTCCCTTCCTAAGAACAGTGCTCTAGCATCTCTGTCTCCAATCATTAATGATGAAGACTTATTGTGTGTCGGTGGAAGATTGAAAAAAGCTAAAATTTCTCTACGGGAGAAGAACCCCATACTCATGCCTGGGAAACATCACATTGCTCTTTTGCTTATCCGTCGCTGTCACAAAAGTGTCTGCCATCAAGGACGTCACATAACGGAGGGAGCCGTCAAAGAAGCAGGTTATTGGATAACAGGAGGCAAGCGGCTGATATCTTCCATATCCATAAATGTGTCACGTGTTGCAAATTGGGAGGCAAACTCTGTTTCTAAAAAATGTCCGAGTTACCCACTGATCGTCTTCAGCCAGGCCCCCCATTCACGACGGTTGGAGTCGATTGCTTTGGCCCCTGGCAAGTAGTGACGCGTCGCACTCGGGGTGGACAAGCAAATAGTAAACGATATGGGCCGGTATGTTTACGTGCCTAGTGTCTAGACCAGTGCACATCGAGGTGATTGAAGAACTGAGCTCTTCTTCTTTCATAAATGCGCTCAGGCGGTTTGTCGCCTTAAGAGGAAAGGTGAAGCTTTTCCGTTCTGATAGAGGGACAAATTTTGTTGGCGCTACGGAAGAGCTAGGAATTAACGTAGAGGTTGGAAACATCAAGGCATTCCTTCTACAGAACGACACTACCTGGATATTCAATCCTCCACATTCTTCACACATGGGAGGAGTGTGGGAACGCATGATTGGCGTGACTCGCAGAATCTTAGACTCCTTAGGGGATACCTCACCCACGAGGTACTAAAAACGTTTCTCGCTGAGGTCACTGCCATCATAAACTTACGTCCTCTAGCTCCATTATCTTCTGATCCACAAAATCCCTATCCGTTGAGTCCGTCACTGATTCTAACCCAGAAAAGTGACAATATCACACAGGTTGTCATCCCTTCGGATATAAAGAACTTGTACCAAGCTCAATACAAGCGAGTACAGTTGTTAGCAGACCTGTTTTGGAAGCGTTGGAGGTGTGAGTTTCTGCACACATTGCAAGGTCGTCGGAAATGGACAGAAGACCAGCGAAATATGAAGCCAGGAGATATTGTCCTCCTGAAAGACAAGGACGTCATTAGGAATTCGTGGCCCACTGCTGTGCTAGTTCGAGTGCTGCCCAGCGCGAATGGGAAAGTCCACTCCGCAGAGGTTCGGATCATCGCAGAAAGTGGGAGACCTACTGTGTACACCCGACCCATTACGGAACTGGTGTTGCTCGTGCCCAGTGATTCAGTTTGAATTGGAGATCAGAGAAATGTTTATTTTGCGTATATTAGATATTTTTTAGTAGAATATTTTGTGAAATGCGATTTCGTGTATTCTTTATAATCATAGGTATTGCGAATGATATTTTGACAATATCAGGCGGGGAGTGTTCTGTTCATCGCAGCAGTATTTATATGTCGTTGTACAGTACGTTTTAGTATGTGTACCCGTTTGAATAATCAGTTTAGTGGTGAGGGCGCCACATGTTTGATTCCCGCGTTTCATAGCGTACCTTTGTATGTAAAGCCTGTTTTGCTTCGCGCGTTCACTACTGTCGGTGTCACCGCTACTGTGTGTCTCATCGAGCGTCGGCATGCCAAAATGTAAGTTAATTTAGTTCTAACGTTCTACGGCAGTGTTATTATAACTTCAGAAAGCATCTGTCATATTCATGGTGTTGACGTAGATGCAGAATAGGTGTACGTTTAATCTGATAGCTAAATTACATTCAATTGGAGTTTATATCATATTCGCGCGGGTTTCTAAGAGAACAATGTTTACATGGGGTACAGTTGTAGTATGTAGTAAGAACGTATTCTCTGGTGATAAGATCGAGCCAGACTCTTGTCTATAACGACGATAACGACGGATTGTACTGTTTAACTTTCACGAACTTTATTTTCCCTGGCCAGGGGAACAGCCATCTTTTTCTGACACCTCATCACAACCAACCAATCACAGAACAACACCTTAACTGTCTAAACTGATAGAGGCAGCACCTACTCAAGAAAAGCAACCAACCACATAAAATTCCCTTCAAACCATACTCCCTCGATCTCCTCGATATGCTTGCTTATCGAGAAACAAAAGTTGAAAATAACCGGTTTTAATAGCGGCTGAGTCCTGATGACGACTAATACAGTTTACCAACGCCTCAAGTATGAAAAAAAAGTTATCGGTAGGCAGCAAAACTTATTGCCAGGTAGCCTACATGTGTCACACGAAAACGAATTACAATGATAACGATATACAAGTATCATAATAAGCCTCCCGACAGCAACTAAGTTTATGATGATCCCTAAATTCAAAGAAACAGAACAACAACTATAGCGTTAAAATAGGAAACCACTATCAAATCACAAAAGTTGCAAGATAAATCGGTATTACGTCTAAACTTAAACACTATATTCCACAAGATTGGCTTACTACTATATGGTGTTCTCTGGTTTATCCCTATCTAGGATGCGCAGTCTTAACATGGTGTATAGTCAACATACTACACTGAAACCCTTACAAACAGCTCAAAACAGAATTGTCAGCCTCATAAAAGTTGCTCACTGGAGAGATCCTGCAACCAATTACTTCCATAAATTACATTTGCTCAAACTAATCGACAACTATAATTTAGAGTTAGGTGTCTCATGCTGGCTTCCCACTGGACTGACTTGCTGACCATAATGAACCTTCGCGGTTCTTCACTGAGGGCGCTCAGCTCTCCCCAGGAATCCTACACAACTCTGATGTCGCAAGTAGCCTATTGATAGGAACGCTTAGCTGCATTCGACTGGGCATAACCTCGAAATCGAGCGGACAGAAACGCCTTTGCCCGCTCGAACCGTTGCGACACGCACGTGGTCATCCTTTCCGGGGTGAACGTCGATGATTCTTCCAAGAGGCCACTGTCCTCTCGGAGTGTCGAGTGAGATCACTAGCACCACGTCACCTACTTTGAAGTCGGTCTGAGGATGGCGCCACTTCTTTCTCGCACTTAAACATGGTAGCCACTCTCGCATCCAGCGGTGCCAGAAGTGGTTCACTAATTCCTGCACGCGGCGCCACCGTTTTCGCACGTTAAATGGAGTCGTGTCGACAGACTCTGGCGCGAATTTTCCACCAACTTGCCGTGCAAGAAGTGGTTCGGCGTTAGTGGCGTGTTGTCAGCAGGATTCGCTGACTGATACGTCAGTGGTCGTGAGTTGAGCAACGCTTCAGCTCCGGTGAAAGCTGTCAACAGCTCCTCATCGTTGATGTCTGCGTTCTGAAGTATTGCGTATATCGCTCGCTTGGCAGATTTAATCATCGTCTCGTGGACGCCACCGAAATGTGGTGCCAGGGCCGGGTTAAAATGCCATTTGACCGCGCCTGTGGCGTTCTGAACTTTCTCATGGTTGATCTGTGCTACTAAACTTCGTAGTTCGTTACATGCTCCTACAAAGTTGGTTCCGTTGTCGGAGCTCATTTCTTCTGGAAGTCCTCGCCGGTTGACCATGCGAAAAAACGCATTCAAGAAACCATCCGTTTCAAGACTGTAGGCCATCTCGAGATGGACCGCGCGCGATTCCAAACATGTGAAGAGGCATAGGTAACGTTTCGCACGCACCTTTCCTCGTCCTTGTATGGTGAGAAATGGTCCACCATAGTCAACAGCTGTCCCAGAGAACGCCCGCAATCAGTCTCGTAGACGTATGCCTGGTAAAGGCACCATTATCTGGCGTCCCGCTTTCGACTTACGCAATGTGCATTTGGCACATTCTTTCTCGCATTCTCGAATTGCTTCTCGGCCAGCGGTAATCCAGTAGCGCGTGGATATGTCGGCCAATGTATGATTGGTTCCACTCGTGTGGAAACCGAGAGTGTGGTAATACCTAACCAAGAGTTGTGTGACCCAATGCTTACGTGGCAATATGATTGGGTGACGCACATCATAGGGCAGAAATTCCGCGTATTTTAATCTGCCGTCCATTCGCATTATGCCATCGTCACCAAGTTTCGGGGACAACCCGAGTATGCTGCTCCGGGTAGGCAACGGTCGATTGGCTGCCAAAGCGCCACTCTCCTCCGGGAACCCTTCTCTCTGTGCATCGCGTAGAATTCGGGCTTCGGCGTCTGATATCTCTTCTGGCGATAGAGGTCCCGTTCGGCGCAATTCCTTCGGCAGTCGACAGTTTTCGATAAAACGCAGCACTAGCGCTGTCTGTCGTTTCAGTCGCAGCCATCTAGAGAAACGGGTCGGGTTCAGACGCCATTCAGCGTTTGCAACGCTACGATCGCCATCACCACTCGGTTTCTCGTCGTGCGATAGCATATTCGCGACACAAGTCTTATGCTTTGTTTTCATCTCGCAGTCCGTTGCTATGTCTTCGAATTGACTTTTCGGCCAGAAGTCGCTATCTTGAAGCAGGAACTTTGGTCCTGACCACCAGATGTCGCGGTCTGCCAGCTTCGATACTGCCAACCCCCTGGATGCAAGATCGGCAGGGTTCTGGTCAGTAGGTACGTGTCTCCACTGTCTGGGATTGGTTTCGCCCTGTATGAAACTGACTCGATTTGCCACGAATGGTTTGAACGCTCGACTGCGGTTTCGTATCCACCATAGCGCATTCATGCTGTCGGTCCAAAATGTGCACTGTTCCATCGGGACGTCGAGTGCACCTGTGATATGCCGTGCAAGTTTCACACTCAGAACGGCCGCCATTAATTCCAGTCGTGGAATACTCATGGCTAAGAGTGGAGCGACGCGAGTTTTAGACGCTACTATCCGGCATGATACGTCTCCACGTAGCGAGCGTATATGACTGAGCCGTAAGCATCCTCCGATGCATCGCCGAATGCATGCAACTCAACAGAGGAAACTTGTTGATCACTACCCAGACGCAGGCACCTGGGTATTTTCACCTCACTTAGTTCACAAAACCAGAGCTTTGCTTTGTTTGTCAACGCTTCGTCCATTGGGTCGTCCCAGTCGTAGCCGGACTCCCATATTTATTGTAGGAGGATTTTAGCTCGGATAACATACGGGGTGAAGAATCCAAGCGGGTCGAATATTGTCGCTACTTTACTAAGCACGTTTCTCTTGGTGAATTAAAATTTGCTGTCAGGTGGGCTGGGTTTGAATCCAAACATGTCACATTTGGACTCACATAGCACACCCAGTGTTTTGACAGACGGCAAATGCCCTGCGTTGAGATCGATCTCTGTCGCTCTATCGTCCGGTGGGATGCATTCGAGTACTACGGGCGAGTTTGAAAGCCATTTTCGTGCGCGCATGCAGGCGAGGCTCCACAACTGTGACAGCTGACTGCACAGTTCAATTGCGTCTGCTTCAGAGTCTACAGAGTCCATACTGTCATCCATATATGTCGATTTTAGCACGGTCTCTGCTGCCCGATGAAATTTTGTTTCATTTTTCCTGGCGTTTTCCTGTGCGACATTACTGCGCTTGAAATCGGGAGGAGTTCACCCCGAACACAACGCGTGTAAACTCATACGCGTCTGGTTCTCTCCTTTGGTCCAAGTCCCGCCACAAAAACCGGTGGAATGGACGATCCGCTGGAGAAAGTCCAACCTGCAAGTACATCTCGGCGATGTCACAAGCCAAGGCAATCGGAGCTTTACGGAAGCGCAGTAACACATTCATCAAGTCCTATTGCAGTTTAGGACCTTGCAGTATCGTGTCGTTCAGTGAGACTCCGTCCGACCGAGCAGCTGCATCAAAGACGATACGCGTCTTTGTTGTCGATTTGTCGGGACGTACAACAGCAAAGTGAGGCAGGTACCATGTCTTCTCCGGACTGGCCTCCGAATCGGGAATCTTCCTGATGTAGCCTTTTTCGAGGTACATAGCGAATGTCTCGGTGTACGATTTTGCAATGTCTGGTTGCCGTAGCAATCGCTTTTCGGTGCTGACGAGTCGATTTACTGCCATTTTACGATTGTCAGTCGGCAGTTCAGGGCCATCTTGCTTCCACGGGATGGCTACGTGGTATCGGCCATCTTTGTAGTCTAACGATTCGCTGACAGTTTTCAAAGCGACTCGGTTGCTAATACTCAAAACTGGTCGAGTTTCCTCTCCGCAGCTTTCAATCTGCCAAAACTGTTGAAACGTAGTGTTTCTCTCTCCTCAAGCGTTGAGTTGTCATTGCCATGTGACCAGTACGAGTGGACGAAGTTCGTTCGTGTTTCGGCAGACCGATCACTCGGACAGCCGACACATGTCCACCCAACGGTGTCAATCTAGCCATAGGCTGCTTCGGCTTCCCCGTAACTTCTCTCCGGGATGCGCGGAGATCGGCATAGTCGAGTCCGATCAGAATGTCGACGATTGGTCGTTTGCCGAGGCGCGGAAAATCAATGTCTTTCAGGTGCGGCCATTTAGCAGCATGTTGTCGCCAGTCTACGGTTCGCATATTTCCAGTTACTCGCTCTGTCGTGAACGTGCAGATTTCCATGTCGACCGTTGGCGTGGTGACACTCTCTAATTGCAAGCGAACGGGCATAGTTTCAAAAGTTTCGACCTGACCGTTCAGAACACTGACCTTCACCTTAGTGAGTGCTCCCTGTAGGCCTAGCTCTGCAGCAATGTCAGCATTGATATATGTCTTTGTGCTTCCGTCGTCAAGTAGGGCATTTGCGCGTAACCTTTGGTTTCCGTGTTTCAGTATAACTGGAACGGTACGGAGAGTTACATAGTCCACGACAGGCTGCGACATATCGGACACCACTGTAGTGTGAGTCTGCTCCCTCTCCGTGAGAGGTACTTCTTCCCGCTGCTTGGGCGAAGACGATTTCCGTGTCGACGATGTAAACGCAACCTTCGGTGTTGTGGCGGAGAAATGGCGATGTAGCAATCTGTGGTGCGTTGATTTGCAGCTGTCGATACCGCACGTCCGACTACGGGTACAATTGTTGCCGCGATGTGTGTCTCCTAAACACCGAAAACACAAGCCGTGCTGCTTAGCAGCATCCCAGCGCTGCTGCATGTCCATCTCTTTAAACTTATCGCAAGTCCATATGCCGTGGAACGCACCACAAACTGGACACGCTCTCCGTCGATTACTATTGTTGGTCCAATCGCTATTTGTGGTGAAGTGAGCATGATAGTAAGTCGCTTTCGATTTTACCGGTGCGACGTAGCCTCGCTTTTTGTTGCCAGTCAAGACGGAAATCGTCTCATGAGCGATGGTAGCGAATTCCGCTTCTTGATTGACCCACTCGCGCAGCGTTCCAACAGATTCAGGGTTGCGGCCTTCGAAAACCCAGCGATGGTAACGCGCTAACATCGGCTCAGTCAGCTTCGTCTGAAGTTTCGTGTACAACGATCCGTTTCCGAGTTCGGCGATGCGACCTGCTTCTGTCAGGTTGACGACAGCGATATCGAGCAAGTCCGCCAGCTTTTCTATGTCACGAGGCTGGTCGGGGCGCACGGGTCGGAAGTTTTCTAGGTCTTCGAGATGAATCGCGATTTGGCGACGGCGACCGCCAAACTTCCGATCCAAGCGTTCTTTTGCCACTTCGTAGGCCACAGCGGAGTGACCCAAGTTCTCGATGACGTGCAGTGCCTCACCCGTTACGTACTGTCGTAACTGTAAAAGCTTGTACTCCGGCGTGGCTGGAGCCTGATCTATTCAAGACAAGAATGCCGCTTTCCAGCCTTCGTATTGCCGTTTGTCTCCAAAAAATTCAGGGATCGACACGCGCATGAGCTGCTTCCAGAGATCGCGTCCGATCGATACCGATGCTGGCGGCTGCTGTTCAAAATTCTGTACCGATCCTCTGTAGGTATTCGGTATGCCACTCGACTGCGGGTCGTGAAATGCTGCAGTAGGCCTATGGTCAGCCGAACTAGGATGTGGGGCGGGCGACGCGACACTCAGCCTTGCAGACGATGTGACACTCGGCCTTGAGGATGCTGCGGCGACACTCGCCCTCGACGATGCTTCATCCTTGCGCGACTCCAGATAGTCATGTGCCTGCTGACGTGCGTCGGAATACTCCTCCTCTAACGTCTCTAGCTCGCCCGTTGCTTTATCAAGATTGGCTATCTCGTTCTGCTGCTTCGCCAGTACACAAACGTAATATAGATGAAAGTTCATACCTTTATAAAGTTCGCAAATGCAGTATGGCTCGAACTCGCCGAAACTCCTAGCAATAAGATGGCGGGTCCAAGACGACGCGATCACGTGGACGATCAGCTGACCCACAGTCACGAAGCAAGGGAGATAAGTACTGTACTGTACTGCACTGTACTGTACTGTACTCTAACAGTCCATTGGTCATGTTACTCCCATAATACACAATTGTCAATATACATGTATAGGCGAACATACATGTAGTGGCGCAACCTCTTCTTTCTTCTTCCACATGCACAATAATGGTTGACAATGGTATATGAAATACCAACATATTTACAGTACATAGTTTCTTGACGTAAACAAACGTATATACAGATGCCGAGCGGCACAGCTACTATGTTACATAGTCTTTCAAATAACTTGGAGGCTTCCGGGCACGTTGTGGTCTTGTAGTTGGAGCCTCTACTTGGTCAGGTTCACACGACATTGATGTATTGTCATTTATACATTGTGGTGTAGATTTTACATGTAAATCTGATAGAGCTATTTGGGGAGCTATATGCAGTTCATCAGTGGCGTCCATCATGTCCAGTGGTTGAATCAGGGGTGATGGTACTACAGCAGGTTTCAGTGGAGAAGTACTGTATGGGGGTGTAGCCTCTCCTGCGTCTTCTGCATCTTCCTCATCACTGTCAGGGTCAACAAAGACCTGTTTGTGGGAACTGTCTATTGAATCTCCTGGAACGCGATAGCATTCACACAACTTTACTTTGTAGGAGCTAGGCCTCAATTGACTGCCAGAGAATTTTTTTATGAAACACCATTCTCCATCTGTGGAAACGACGAGATACCGACTTCTTGCTCGTAGCTTACTTTTGTCCGAGTACAAGTATACAAGATCCCCAACGGTGATGTCAGGTTTTTCTCGCATAAATTTATGACACTTGGATCTTTCACTGTACGCGTGGTTCATTGTACGCGATTGGTGTTGTTGTGTTATCAAGTCCATGTCTGCTATAGGCAGTTGTTCATGTGAATATTGGTTACGCTGTGTCCACATCTCTCGAGCTGACAGGCCTCTGCCACGAATTCGAGAATTAAGACGTGCCACAGCCACTGCCAATCCAAGTGGGGAAACGGGTCCTCCCCCAGGTTCCTGACGTAAAAGTTCACTTTCGACTTCTGCAATAGCTTTTTCCGCTACAGGATTTTTGTTAACGTTTTTTATTCTGCCCACTTCTATTGTAAAGTTAAACTGGTTAAGCGTGTTATCATTTTGCATAGACATAAAACCTGGAGCGGGGTCGACTCGAACAATCGCACTGGGACCGTCAAGGGGATGTAACTCCATGAGCATCTTGGCTAGGTTATCACGCAAGGTGTCTCTCTTCTCATCATCAATCAAGCACGCAGTTGTGAATGATGTAACAGTCTCCCTAATCACTAGAACTAACTGTCGATTGATTCGTTTATGCTGTCAGCCAAGCAAATGACATACCAATGCATATGGGAGGATCCTCTGAGGACTGCTCGACTAGACTGTCTGGAAATTGTTTCAAAGATGCACATACATGACATGAGTCGCATACTGCGTCGATAGTTCTGTTAATGTCTAACGCATAGAAGTGACGTTTGATAACGAGTTGTA